TTTGTTATAAGATTGCGCGTGATTCCGTCCGCATCTCTCAGTGTAGGTACTCCTAAGCTTGTTTCCTTACATAGATTTGCTCTCAAGACCTTACCTTCAGTAATCTAATATGGACAATGATATTACAGTACCCACGGTACCCACAGTTCCCAGTATTCTTTCCCATGTCACGTTTGGGTAAGGTATGACGTTTGATGGAAATGTCATGAGAATTCCACTTACGGTCTCATTAGTGGGACAGGTTTTGTGATTTGTAACTTCTGAAATCTTTTGGCGATGGTAAGACTTTTATTTCGTCGTTTTTTCAGACAGAACTGACAGAGAATTGGGATGATGACAGGGTATGAAAATTAAAAATCTAATTAGTCCGTAAGTTAGGTAATGAAAAAATATTGGACACGTATTTTAATACTTAGATAAAACGAATCAAAGTTTAGGAGTGGGGGCTAAAACGTCATTTATACGTATAAAATGAACATAAGTGACGTCACGCGACATTTCAAATCAATGTATCGTCAAAAGGATTCGTTTCTGTAAGAAAATAAAAAATACGTGTCTAATGATTTTCATTAGACCAGACGGACATTAAAATAAAAATTAGGCATCTACCCTATTATTTCTTTTATATTTGTTGACATTTCACAAGTACCAACCAAATTATGGTTTAATTAAAATAAATGCTTTTGAGTTTGAGTTTTATGGGATAAGTCGATAAACGAGTTGACGGATCACCTGATGGTAAGCAATCGGCGTGTCGCGGAGAACCTAACGGGTAATCGGGGCTCCGGCTCGACGTGCAGGAGAAGGAACGAGGTGGTTTTTAGTCAGTAAGAGTCTGACACTCCCTTCCGCCTCACCCAGGCGGGAGCAGTCATAGGATGATTTTCCCCCCTTAAAAAAAAAAGCAATCGGCGTCACCCATAGACACCTGGAACACCAGAGGCGTTACAAGTGCGTTACTGGCCTTTTGGGAATTGAAAATTGAAGGATTGTGGGAGATTCGGGGATTGGGGACACTGGGCAGGGGTGGACAACTCACTCACACGACGAGACACAACGCAAACGTTGTTTAACGTCGGTTTTCTGTGAGGCCGTGGTATCATTCCGGTCGAGCTGGCCCATTCGTGCCGAAGCATGGCTCTCTCACATTTAAAATCGTACGTCTATTGAGAACCTTTTACGTAAAAGTCACCACTTGTGTAACACAGCCTTCACACATAAACGTGTACACGTTTAGGAAGCCTAATGAACAAGAACAAGGCACAACATTACGTTATTTACGTGACACTCAAGCAAACACTTATCCAAAGCTATTTCTGACTTCCCTGTCTCACGAACCCTCTGTTTACTAACAACAATCAACTCAATTTGCACATCAAAGCTAAAAAAATACAGTCAGCTAAAACACCGTAATACTCCATATAAAACATGCCTAATGTTTTCCGTACCAGCGTTCCAAATCTAATTCGGAAAAGAAAGCAACCGTGAACCATTCCACCTTTGACACACGTTATTCTAATAAAATAATACTGTCGCATATATAACAAAGAGATACATTATCCAATTTGTTCAGTCAGAGTTGTACAAAAGCAATGAGCCGGTGTATCGGTAAGCCAAAAATCGAGTTATAGTCGTCTAGTAAGAAAACATTCGGTCCTTCTCGCATAAATGTATTTCCTTCCCATATGAAAACAGAAATCAGTTTGCCGTCAATCTTTTGACTTACAATTTCGTTAGCTTCTCTGGTAACAACGTTTGTGTTCCGTTTTGTTCGTACGTGTGGGGAATGTTTTTGTTTTTATTTTTATCAGCGTGGGTTTTGTTAATATGTGGGATTTAAAGGTTAGTACTTGTACCTTTTTTTTTGTTTAAAAAACGATGCCCCACTCTAGGATTTTCTTCTGTGTCGTGGGTGCGTTTACAAACATACAAGTTCACATACACATGACACCCAGACCCGGAACAACAATCTGTGGATCACACAAAGAGTTGTTCCCTGTGGGAACCGAACCAAAGACACGTTGCGCGGCAGCCAGTTGCCCAGCCACCGCGCCAACCGTGCAGTCAGATCTGTTTTATACTTTTTTGTTGTACATGGCATTATATTGTTCAGCCTACCTTGATATATAGTTCACTTATTTATAAAAATATACAACTTGTGTACACCAACTTAAAAAAGGTTAAAGTAAGTTCTAAGTGATATTATATCAACTAGACAGAGTAACCCGCGATTTTTAGTTAATTTAGTATGTCTCACGATAGTTATAAAACTATGATGTTCACCTTTTTTAACATCCTTGATAAGAACCGATATCTTCAACTTCAGTAGTTACAATCGATCTCAACGAACGCAAATTTATACATACGTATTGTAAAGTTTAAAAGGAAACAAGATCTATCTGATATCTACCGTTTAAAAGTAACCTCTATAAACTAGAACATAAAGCAACTACTCCAAGACGTGTACACAACTTGATGAACTTTTACATTATTTTACTAACATTTTTCTTTATGGGTAATAAATATGTAAAACTTGCGGAATGGTGGTTTAATGTATATTTATTATTACTGGCCACAATGTTATTTATATTCAAATAAAGGCTAGCACAGCTGGGCAGCCATGTTGGCTGTCAAACATGGGTCTTGTTAGAACGACCGGGGATTATTTGGTCAACCTTCCGATCTCAGAACTGATATTAAGCCACCGACGCCCTTAACTTGAAATATTTGGGTACACAGGATTCGGGGACAATTAATTTACGGGGTACAGGGATCGGCGACGATTTAGTAAATAAAAATCTATTTTATATATTCGTTGATAAATATTGTTGTTCATACATTAATGAGTTGGATAGGATTTTTAGTGTATAAAGTTATTAATTTTTTTTTAATATAACTATCGTGAGACATACTAAATTAACTAAAAATCGCTGTAGACTGCGCACGTTGCTCATGAGGAAGAACCTCTCTGTGATTCGAAACTATAGTAGAGCTTTTCTCAATACTTGAAATTAATTATAGTAGACTGCGATTTTTAGTTAATTTATTAATTAATTATTGATAGGTAATCACAAGGAATTTTGCCGTTTTATTATTAATGTTTAATTCGAAAAAATGGTAATAATTTCCACATTTTATAGATCCCTATTGTAATAGAAGGTACATAAGTTGCTATGACTAAAAGCTTCATAAACCATAAACCGAAATACTTTACGAAAATTCTATCTAGACCTAGTTTTGATCAGACTTGCCGAAGAGGCTGTTATTAACAACATACATACAGAATCTTCCCCAAAAAGCCTCCAAACAAATACACACCTTAATACATTTATAATTAAGTATAGATATGCGTACACCAGCTTCTTATAATACCGTACTTAACCTCGAAGCGTAGGTATTAACACACGCAACAAAGTTTCGTTCCACAAAACCGCGTGCTTATGAAAATGTCGAGAGATTTTGAAATTACTGCGACAAGGACAATCTTCAGTAATGACTTGAATGGTTTTCGTTTACGTATACGCGAACGAGGATAGTGTTGGCCTCGTTTAACGCAAACGTTCGCGTTCGTGTTAAGTTTAGAGGGTTTTGTTTTTGTGCTTCTGTAGTGGTTTATTTTTTTAATATCTTTTATGGGTTATGATGCTGCCCATGGGAAATGAAGTAATTTTCGTTTGTTACTATAAACCGTCTTACCTTTTCGCACTACGGTAGATGTCTAAAGAAAACTACTCACACTTACTCTAGTTACGACTTAAAAATCATCTTATATGAAAAAGACACGTCGCGTTCCGCGCGCGCCTCAATGAGCCATCAGACCACCACAGATGGGGCCCAATAGGGCTGATGCTGATACGGAGCCGCGCAGAACTTAACGGGTTACCGGGGCTCCGACTCGAAGTGCATGAGCAGGAACGGGTTTTTACTCAGTAAGAGTCTGACACTCCCTCTCGCCTCACCCAGGCGGGAGAAGTCATTCGATTATTATCCCCCCTTAAAAAAGTATAAAAAAGACAGACACACATCGTTTCGACTACTCCGAACTCTTTCCATGGTTCATGTTGTGGTTAATTAATGTGTTAATTCTAATTTTATACCGATCTAACTTCTTCTAGCGGCTTTGCCCGCGTCTTCGTAAGATATAAAGTAGCCTATGTGATATATCAGACCATAATATTGATCCCTTCAGCCATTTTGTTGTGAAACAGTAACAAACAATCACACAGACAGACACACCTCCATACATACATCCTCACAAACTTATAATATTAGTTCGCATTCATAATATTAGTAGGATTATTCGTATCCTACGAAGACATATACAATATAATATTTTAGAGCATAAAGACATTTCATTAATCTGTCAAACACCAAGCGGTCACCGGTGACCGCGACCTATTGTTCTTTAATTGTGTCTATAAAACCGGTACTCGACGAGTTAAGGTTGAATTTTCACTAAACAATTCAACATTGCAACAGTCAATTACATCACCACCGTGTACACCACAAACAAACCAAGAATACACATAGTAGGCAACCAGAACACATACACAATTCGACGCCAAACATTTGTCCAAACATTGTCCACAAACATCCAACCACAAACATTGGCGACCATCATATTTGTGAACACAAAAACCATCGCAGAATCCCATCTAATCTTACAAAGGAATCTCAACTCTAAGTCCGTATGTTATTAAAGGTAATTATGCATTTCGCATGCGTGAAATAAGCTCGGCTACGCCATGATCCCGGAGATTGCGTTATAGAATGGAATTTATAAATTTAGAGCGAGTCTCTGCGTTTATGTATGTATAATAATGTGTTCTGTTTAATTAATGTTTAGGTATATTTTTGGTTGGATATCATTTTTAGTAATAAGGTCAAATTATGTTGTTGAAATTCAAATTGCAAGTATAGTCCTAAATTTACTAATTTCATGCCTATAAGAGTTCAATCCAATAATTATAAAATGTCAATGAAATCTTTTATCAATAATTTTAAGTCTGAGAGATATGCTTCGGCACGAATGGGCGGGCTCGACAGGAGTGATACCACGGCCTCACAGAAAACAGACGTGAAGCAACAGCAGTGGAACAGTTTGAAACAAATTCAAATAGATTTGAACGTAAATTGAAGTCATATTATCTAGAAATGTCTTAAATTCTATATAAATTTCAACGCCTGTATAATATTTATAAGTACATTTAATTATAATGCCCAGTGACTCAACCCCACAGTCAAACCATTGCAACGGTTTTGTGGGGCTTAAATTGTAACATACTTACCTGTGTGCTTTAAAGATAAATTAAATAAACACTTGAGTTGTGTTTCGTCGTGCAACTGAGGTTACCGGAGGCCCAATTACCCCCATCCCCAGTCTCCCCAATCCCCGAATCCTCCACAATCCTCAAATTCCCAATTCTCAAAAGGCCGGTAACGTACTTGTAACGCCTTGGTGTTTCAGGTGTCCAAGAGCGGCGCCGATTGTTTACTATCAGGAGATCTGTCTGCTCGTTTACCGGCTTATCATTTATCGACTTCTAAATCTTCCTATGTAGTCACTATGTCTATTCAACGTAGTGTATTAGAAACACAACAATATTATGTAAAACAGTATAATATATGAAATTAGAGTATTATAAATTATAACAATAGTTCTGCCAACTGCTTAGAAATTAATAAGCGTGAGTATTTATACTAGTAATTATGCGAACGCACAATAACACGATTTATCTACATGGTGTTGTTATTCCTTTAATTAAATTTTGTATTCAATCCGCTTTCCCTTCATTCTATAATATTACTAAGCTTCGTGAATGCACACTACTATTAATTGTAAATAAATATTCATATTTCTCTTGCAAAATATCATCTAGAAAATTGTTACTACAATGAATTAATTAATTCCAAAGTTTATTAGACAATAACATATAATTCTAACTACCCCTAATTAGTTAAAATTCTGTAAAAGATTTCAAATGTTGTATTCAAATTAATTCTTAAGGTTCTATTTTAAACCAAATCCAATAGATACCTACACTGAAATTGTTAAACACTACAACCCTTAATTTAACTTAAAACTATTAAATTCCAAACCTTTTTCAAGAAACTACCTATTAACTCTTTCAAAATCTATTTCAACACTCAATAGGTAAACATTTCGATCTGTAAAAACCAAGTCGTCCCTAATTTTAACTTCACGTAGTATATAATAGTAGCAACCCAACCGTCGCAAAAGACACTCCGAGCGTCGGGGATCGCGTCGGGGCTCGCTGCCCGACCAGAACCAGACCCGAGCGTACGGCGCGTTACATTCCGCGGGCGCCGCAAAGGGCCATCAGACCACCATGGAAGGGGCTCAATAAGGTTGATGCCGATACGGAGCCGCGGAGAACCTAACGGATTATCGGGGTTCCGGGCCCGGCTCGAAGTGCAGGAGTAGGAACGTGGCGGTTTTTACTCAGTAAGAGTCTGACACTCCCTCCCGCCTTACCCCAGCGGGAGAAGTCATACGATTTTTCCCCCTTAAAAAAAGTATATAGTACCTACTAACGCTCGAATACTGATAGGCTACTCAATTTTAAGTTGTACTTAGATATCATATCGTGCTATCTCTGTCATTTTACAAAGGATTTGTAGAGACAGAACTATACATATTTTGGCTAGACTTAAAATTGCAGCCTTTCAGCATTTGGGTGTAATTCTTAAGTAAAAATAACGTGACAACCCTAGACTTGTGACGTAGGCGTAATAACAAGGTCCCATCATCTCGTCACTTTTTGAGTAAGGAATTCCTAAAAATAACAAAACTAACAAACAAACAAACAAACATATTGTTGAGAGCGAAAAGATATCTTAGAAGACGGGACGCCTTGATAAAATACTTCCAAGTCTTACATTATATTACAAAAGAAAACCAAATCCTTTGACGAATAAAAAAACATCCTATATATACTTTTTTAGAGTTCATTATACAATCGTCAACGTATGTAGTGCGTATTGAGTGAATGTCTTTAGTATTGAGTGAATGATAATAAAACTACACGTAAACCCATGTGAGTTGTATCTTAATTTGTAATTCAGTGTATATTGTGCCGATAGTTTATTGGTTTGAAGAAATTTGAAAATGGAATATTTTAAAGATTTATTGATTTTTCTTGACTTCTGAAAGTAAATCAAGATTGAATAACTCACATTCTTTGCACGTAGCTATTTTGATTCATCTTGACGTATTAAAAGATTCCTGTTCATGGATTTGTTGGACGAAATACTTCGGCATTGACTTAATATGTCGAATGGTATTAACACATGAACTTGAAGAACGAAAATCTCTAAAATAATTCGCAGTCAAAATAAATACCTAACATCTCCAGGCAGCGAGCATCCAAGATCCACTCAACTACATTGTCACATTATAACAAGCAAAACCCACTTGTGTAAAAATGAAAAATATGACGTCATAACATAAGACCCGGTTTACACGAGACGACTTGTCTTAAGCACATGTATTCATCACTTGTGCTCGGAATCCTAAATGTCAGAAGCGTAAAAATTTGTCCACACGTCACCGTCTTTGTCAAGATTTGAACTATACCTTTGCGCTTTGTGTAAATTGACCCTTACTATTGTGCTGCGTTTAGACTGTTGTGGTTGGGTTAGGCGAGTAATTTTTGTGTTCAGAATATTTGAGCTCTAATATACCGTAGCTCTAAGATACATAATAACATTTTTTGATATTATACTTTCAGTAAAAATATTATAAAAAGAAAAATAGTCTAAAATAAATTAAATCTAAAACATTTCTACAAAACAATATGTACTTATATCTTTACTGACATTTACCATATAAATACACTTTATAAAAGTAAAAGAACCTTTTTATTTATTCCGAACAAATACCTTTAATGTGAACATATATATGACTCACAAAAAGTTATTCTCCTTAAAACTGAAAACAGTATGTGAACTCAACTTACAAGTTGACTCTCCAATCCAAACGCTCCCTAACGCATGTGACCTCACAAATGACAGGATTTGAGGGGCCTTACACGTGTCAGTTCACTTTTTGGCCACTACCCTCTAATAGGTGTCACATTTTGTTAAGAAATCCCTCCCTTAACATTCCACGCTTCACTTTTGTTATTTAAATTCAAAAAACGAATTCCGGAGAGCCTCCATTTTGATAGCGGATAGTCTATAATTAATTCAGCCAGTATTTTTAGATGAAAGTTTATTAATAGATTGACTTTAGGAAATTTTATTGATGATTTTAGAATGTTAAATTAGACACGGAGGATATTGCTTTCGCCTACATGTTTTTTGAAATGTGATTAAAGTATGACCTACGATGTAGGTACTAATGATATGTTTTACGAAAAAAAACAAATTGTTATCTTTAGACGAACCAGTTATGCCTAGAAGTCAATCGCAATCTGTCATACCTCATTTTCATCTCTGCTATACCACAAATACTTTTTGCGTTTTTTTCCTACACTCTATTCCACATACTCAAGACATGCATCGAAGAATATTCAAAAAGACAATTTATTCTCATGAAATTGTAGTAAGTGTCGGAAGCCGTGGAAATGTTAAAATTGCAACAATTGCTTCACTGTTCATGTCGACGTTTTGTACTTTAAGTTATGTAAAGAAATATCGAAAGAGCTCTCTGTACAACGAGCAATAGGAATTGGGAGATGGGGAAAATTTACTTATGCTTTGTTGTCAGAGTACTAAATTTTATAATGGTAGTTTTTTTTTTAATATGCGCTAGTGTAGAGTACTTCTGTCACTAGCTTCATTTCTCTCGCAGATGTCTTAAAAGCTAGCTAAGTGATAACACATTTGAAGTTTAATCCTAAACGAGAGGTACTTTTTTTGATGACGGGGCGTACTCTTCAAAAGGCGCCTAGGTTTTTGGGGGGAAAGACTAGGGAGTGTGGGATTCGTACCTGACTAAAACCACCCCGGTGTAGTCACCGGGGTGGGTGCCGCTTATATGGGGCACCGAGTCCTCTAGAAGAGAGCTGCTCTGGAGCCCTTACGGCGCAATAGTTACAGCACATCCCTAAACAGACGGGTGTCTCCCTTGACCCTCGCTGGGCACAGCGGCACGTGACCACTGAGCCACAAACAAGAGGTACTTTTTTTAAGGGGGGAAAATCATCGAATGACTGCTCCCGCCTGGGTGAGACGGGAGGGAGTGTCAGACTCTTACTGACTAAAAACCACCCCGTTCCTTTTCCTGCACGTCGAGCCGGAGCCCCGGTAATCCGTTAGGTTCTCCGCGACAAAACAAGAGGCAATAGCGAGCATTATTCTTATCACAGCTCCATCTCTTTCACACTAAAATTAAATAGCAATAGCTGGTGCTAAAGTGATAATTTTATAATGAGTTAGTTAATAGTAGAACTTATTACAAACCAACGCAAGTATCAAAATCGTTTGCAGTAATGCAGCAGGATGGTCTTGGCTATCACAACTATTTACGTTTCCGTACTTGTTGAAAGTTAATGTATAAAGTATGAAAACTCTTGCTTGAAGTTGCTGAAGTTATTCCTTGAAAAGAGTTTATCTTTACAAGTTTGCATTGAAAGAAAACATGCTTCAATGCTGAACTATTTTCCGTAATTACTCACTTGGAAATATCGAGTGAAATGCTCCTTATATTCAATTTATTTTTTGTATTGTAACTTTCGTAAGACATACTAAATAAATTATTATGTTTTCGGCTTACTCACGTAGTAATTTGACGAGGAACTATATTCGCGGGTTGCGAAACGCTGCTCATGAATATGAGCCTCTAGCATAGCTTGAAACTAGTCGAGTTCCTCGTCAAATTACTACGTGAGTAAGCCGAAATCATAATAATTTAAATGTATTTTTTGTTGATAACCGTCACGCCTTTCGAAAAGGTATACACTCCAAGTAATAAGATACATCAATAGCCAACAATTGCCCACTGCTGAACAAACTCTCTGCCCACACTGAGAAGGTTTGAGAATTAATCACCACACTTGCTCATTGCAGGCTGGCGATTTCAAACTTATAATTAAAAATTATAAGCCTCCTGATGTTTTCCTTCTATGGTGTCTAAATAATCTTTGAAAGTACGTACCTATAACTCGGAAAATCACATTGGTATTTGGCGTTGATAGTTTTCGAACCCGGGTGCGGGTTCATTCTTGAGAAGCGGGCGTGTTAACCTCCAGGGCGCTACGATACTCGTTATGATTATAGACTGCTGATTTCAAGGTTCAAAGCTATAAATAACTTCAAAAATCAAAATCAATATAATATTTACTCTAACCGAACCAGATATCAAAACACTGAAACCTCTGACTTAAATTTGACATTAATATGACGATATCAGTCAAACATAAACTTACTTCCTTTAAACTTAATGGTATTATTTACTTAACCTTTTTTGAGGGGGGAATATCATCCAATGTC